CCAGGTTTGTTACTGATCATTCACACTCCCGATTTTTCCTAATTGTGTGTGTATGTTTGCTTGCCTTAAGAGGAAGTCAAGTTTTTACACACACACACACAAGCACACACGCACACACACACACACTCTGTCTCTCTCTCACACACACACACACACACTCTCACACATAAATTCAGAGTAAGAAAAATTACTAGTTTACTATTAACAAACTTAAAAACTCAAAAAAGAAGGGGGGGATTTTGAGGGCACAAGAAAATTTATAAGGGACTAGATAATGATAAATATATTCACTAAAAATGTGGCACCCCTATTTAAAAGGCTCTGGCTTTTTAAAAGATATGATACAAATCTTCTTAGCACAGTTTATCCACTATTATCCCTTTAATTTCCATTTACTTCCCCTACTTGCTAGAACTTTTCAAGCTTTCACTCCCCTGCTGTTTTAATGACAGGCTAGATAGTCATTTTGCTTTCCTTCCTAAAATGAGCATGTTAAAAGGCGTGTTTTCTGCATCTGTTCGCCACACAATGGGCAATGTGATTTTACAGCTGGGATGTCAAGGCAGTCTCTGGAAACACAGTGGGCCCTGGTTAAGTTGTAACATTTGAATGCTTCGGTTAACTTTTATTGAACTTGCTTGGAGAACCGCAGGAGCCCTTCTCAAGCCTCCTTCTCAACACACGGGATTTCAAAGGCTTACCCCTCTGGAAGTCTTAGCCAATACCCCTGCACGCATCAGTTCCCTTCCTCCTAATAGTCACGACAGGTGCTCTTCTCTCTCCTATGACTTCATTGTAAAACTTTCAATTTTTTCTTAACAATTTTACCTCCTTTATTGTTTCTTACAAAGACTTACCACCTTTTCTGATTATTCCCAACAGAAGAACTCACTGGAACACAAGACCTCATGAATGAGGAATATGTAAATCACAAATAGACCCACGTTCTCCAAATTCAAATGCTTCATTAAGGGGAACTGAAGCATCAGAAACAATTAGTATGTCTTGGCTAGTTATAATTATTCAGCATATGGTAAAATGTTACGGCTTCCTCAAAATTTAAATGTTTAAACTAACTTCTAAACTTTCTTTAGCCATTAAAAAATTGTTATCGGAATAGCCCACATTACAAAATTGTTACTTGCAAAAAGGTGATATTTTGAGATTTGTAAAGATTCAAAACCAAAGAATTATGATACTTTGAATAGAGAGTAAATGAATAAATCCATGGTTGACCCCATTATGATGTTTATATTGTCTTGTTGGTAAGGAGTAGGGATGAGAATATAGTACACAGCAAAATGCTGGGCTGGAGGACTCAGGCTCTGCTGGCTGAACCGCATGGGCTGGGTCCTTGGAACCTACGTGAATGTGGGTGCTCATTTACAGAATGAGAGCATCAGACACCGTGATCCCTGTGGACCTGTAACTCCAAGATCTGGGATTTTTGGGAAAAGCGAACAAAGCTTAGCAGTGGGTTCCAAATGATCCGACCCCTCCTGCTTTCCTCTTGCTCACCACGTCTGAAAGGTGGCATTCTTAACACTGAGGTCCAAGCTGGCTAAAGGCAGGAGGTCAACTTTGTATGCAGAGTCTGTTTCCCCTTCACCTGCCGTTTGGTTGTTTTCGTGCTGTGGGTCCTGGGCTCCTTCTTCTGTCCAGCCTCTGAGCTGGGCCTCCCTCATATCAACATTAGTTTGGCTGTAAGCTGCTGGAGCAGCTGCTGCCCGGGAGGGCTCTGCTCATGCCCTGAGCTGACACATGACAACTTCTATTAGGCTGAGGTGCTCTGAGGGAAGCCAATGGGCCCTACCAGCCATCTCCCTTCTGTTTCCCCATCTGCCAGCTCCTAGGGAGGTGGTGGCAGAGCTTAGGTAAAAGAGCACATCCGAAGTGAGGACATGGTGGAGACCTGGAGGGATTGCACTCTCCCTCTTTGTCAGATGTTGCCTGGCAGGAGGGGAACCTGTCCCTTAGGTGAAAATGGGGTGACTCAGGCTAGCCTGGCTCATGCTGAGGACATCCAGTCTGCCTCTCACCATCCCTGCTGGGAGTCCCCACATGGAAATCATATTTGCAGCTTGGGTTAAACATGACCAGGTGCTCCACAGAGGCAGTGCCAGAGGATTCTTGGCATGGCCTCTGCACTTGTTTGAATGTTGTGGCTTTTAATATTTATCCCTGTTCTTATGAGTGTTTGTGAACGCCCGTGTGCATGTATTGCAGTCCCTTCCCAGGGTCTCCCAGCTTAGAGATATTCCCATCCATCAAACAGAAAGAGCAACAACAGGCTGTGTGGGGAGCTGGGGCAGGCTGGGTGAGTGCAGGGCCTGGGGAGCCTGTGGGCCCGGCCATGTGTTCTGCTGTTAGTGCATTGGGCTGACAAGGTGGGAGGCTGCTGTGCTGGGACCCCTTCTCTCAGCCAGGGGTCCCATAGGTTCCCAGATGCTACAGCTTGAAGGGAGGGGCCTGAGATGTGATGCGGTTCAATGCTTTTATTTTCTGAAGATGAAAATAAGGCTTGTGAAAGACACATCTAATTGTAACAGGAGCTGAACCACCAAAATCTAGGCTGTGTGTGTGCAGGCTTTTAGCTGTCTCATTGGTGCTGGGGTCCAGGAAGAGTCTATTGACTGAATGAATAAGCCAGCTCAGTCCTCTACATCCTAAGTCAATGCTTACACAATGCTTCCTTCTCCACCAAGAAGGACCCTAAGATTTCTTATGGTTATTGAGACTGTATGTCCCTGTTTCTTTTGGTTTACCCTCTCAAAACATGCCCGTTTGGATAATAAATCCTATGGTCTCATTATCTAGGATTGTCTCATTTTCTAGAATGCTTCTTCTTCAAAGATATGCATTCCTGGGCCAAAGAGTTACTCCTGTGACTGCTGGCTCAAAGCTTCACAGAAGTTCTGATGAGTTCCTGAGTTCAGGTGATGGGAGCTCTAATGGACACGTATGAACCCAGTTACGCATGACTGGATTCATTCTAACAAAGGAATTCAAAAGCAATTCTCTAGAAATCATTTGCCTCATCTATAAAATGCATGATTTATTCTAACAAAGGAATTCGAAAGCAATTCTCTAGAATTCATTTGCCTCATCTGTAAAATGAAGGAGCTATAGTGGGGGGATTCCTAAGGTCCCTGACAGCTTAAAATCTGCATCTACCAATTAATTTCAGGGATCATTCTGCCCCTTGCAATGTTGGTGTTTCTTCTCTAGCTTCTGCAGTGAGGTGATCAGGGGCACATCTGCATAGTGGCTTAGATGTTGTATGTACCAGATGCCTGATATGAGAGATCCTAGCTTTACAGCCAAGATGACAGATGCCTGTCCCTGCCCTTCCTTCAGGTTCCCAAATCGCAATCTCTAAGCACTGGGTTTGAGGAGAGCCCAAGGACACATGGAGAGGCCGGACTCCCATTTCCAAGTCCTTACCCTTTGTCCCTTATGTTACCCTACCTGGTGTGCACAACTTGGGGCTCTCAGAAGTCAGGGCATGGGCAATGGGAGAGGATTGCTGACTTCCCAGCATAAGCCTGTTCTCTAGGGGTGCTACCCAAAAAGAGGGGTGCCAAAAAAGCCCCCATCTCCTAGGCCCTCAGACCAATTTGACGCCTGATCTTGGGAAAACGCAATCTCTAGGGAGAGCTTGTTCTTAAAAACATTTGATGTGTAAGTCCTGGTTTTGTCTTTTCAAACAGACAGAAAGTCATCTTATCCATTCTTCTGTCTCTGGGAAGGGCAGGTAATTAACAACTTGGTAGGTCAGTAACGCAATGAAAAGAAGGTAGGTCTGATCACCCTTTAATTTGGGATGTACAGAAAGGAAGATTCTACAGTTTCCTTAGTTAGTAATCTGGTACCTCATGTCCTGGATGCTCAGTTCTTTCTGCTTCTCTTTTCATCCAGCTGGTCCCTATTTTCATCCATGCCTCTTTATTCTGTCCGAGGTTTAGCTGATTCTGGAGACTAAACCTTCACATCCATTAAAGAACTTCTTTTGGCCCCGGCCACACTCATCCTTCTCCAGATTTCATCTTGAAGATTTTCATTAAGAGCAGAATTTATGTAACTAAAGTCTGGGCAAGGCACAGATGATGAGGAGGCGACAACAACAAACAGATAAGTTAGGGACTTCAGGACCTTCGATGTCATGAGAATTCTTTGGCTTTAAACATCTTTCTCTATCACTTGAAGAGTTTGGATGTTTGCAGAAGCTCGAGAAGATGATTGGTCAAGAGAAGATCACCTCAGTCAAGGGAGATCCAAGCCCAATACGTGGACTTTTGTCTTTCTGTCTCATAGTCTTTCCAAAGATGTAAGTTTCAGATTCCTGAATCACTGTACAGGATATGACTGCTTGCTTTTCTGGAGAGAAAAGAGGAAAATAAAAATCTCATCCTTTCTCAAAAAATAAAAGACAGTAAAAAGGCTCCTTAGTCTCATTAAACAGGAGTGCTGGATTTCAAATAGCTCTCACCACATAACATGTTGATGAGTTAAGTGTTAATGAATCAGAAACATATGGATAAAATTTCCCTGAAAATACACAAGGGTTTTGGAATCAAGAGGAGTAACCCCTAACCCCACCCCTGACCACCCCCTTGGCTCCGGGCTCAGGAGTTAGGAACTTGCCTCCCCTCCTGGGCTCACTGATGGGGCTTCTCCGTTTTTGGCCACCCAGACTGCTCTCAGCTTCTCCCTGGAATTCTTCCTCCTCTCTTATGGCTTAGTGGCCAAGTGGCAGGAGTGGGTTGAGAAACGACAGGTCAACTACTGAGAGAGATGAATGGCACAGCGGAGAGAGGCTGGGGAGTCGTGAGCCCAGCGCTCAGGCGATGGGCCACATACTGGCTGCAGGAGGGACCCTGCTGGCGGCTACATGCTGGCTGCAGGTTTGGGGCTCCTTGGAAAGTAGTTTAAGATGCTTTCTTTCTTTCCAAGCAACATGAAATTCTCTTGATCCGTACTCACTGATTTGTGTTTTCCAGGTTGCCAGGATTTCCTGGAGACTGAGCCTGCCTCTTTGCAGGGGCTGGGACAGATGATTCGGAACGCCCCAGGACCGGCACTTCTGAGCAGAATTCATGCCTGGGCTCACCTCGGCTTTTCACAGCTCATCTCACCTGCCTCACACAAAATTCCGCTGCCTTCTGTGCCAGGTTAAAGTGGCTCAGAGTAAACAAAAGGACTTTACTGTGGGCCTGGGAGTTCTGCAGCCTGACTCAGCTTCCTGTGAAGAGTTTGAGAGCTGGGCTGTGTCTGTGGAATGAGGGGCCCAGTTCCTTTTTTCTTCTTGCCTGCGGTTCTCAGATGGTTAGCTGTCACCCCAGCAGACCCAATAGTGGCACATAGGGACACACTCCATGCAGGAGTGTGGATGATCCTCATATTAGATTCTTTAAGCCTCATCTTATATTAATTTGGGGTTCCTTCTGAGTGTACCTTGAATAAAGAATTTTGGTGCAATGATTTATTCATGAGGTGATTCCAGGAAACACAGTAGAAAATAGGTAAAGTGGAGCCAGGTATGGTGACTCATGCCTGTAATCCTAGCACTCTGGGAGGCTGAGGCTGTGGATCACCTCAGGTCAGAATTTTGAGACCCGCCTGGCCAACATGGTGAAACCCTATCTCTACTAAAAATACAAAAATAGCTGGGGGTGGTGGCATGCACCTGTAATCCCAGCTACTCAGGAGGCTGAGGTGGGAGAATTGCTTGAATCTGGGTGGCGGAGGTTGCAGTGAGCCGAGATCACACCATTGCACTCCAGCCTGGGCGACAGAGTGAGACTGTGTCTAAAAAAAGATAAAAGAAACTAGGGAAAGTGGGATGTGGGGAGTAGATGTGTTAGTGAGCAGGTTGTTTGCGTGGGCACCTGGGGTCAGTCCGGAAGGGGATATTCGGGAGGCACTCCCTCTAGGAGGAAACTGGGTGTTTATCTACCAACTCCTATTCCTCCTGGGACACTGAATTCCCTGTGCTCTCAATCTGACCCATGTATAGATAGATCATATTTCTGAGGCCAGAGAAAGCCCCAGGGCAGAGAGATGATGGTGGCTGAGGTAGGGAGCTGTCGGAGTGGCTGCGAGTGGCCTTCAGGGAGGAATAAGGGAAGACGGGTTTGCACAGATGTCATCTCCTGCAAGGATCTGGATGTGCTCCCACTCCCCTTCTTTCTTCTTTGAGATTGATTCACTTCTCACTCAAGTCTTGGATGCAGAAGGAAAATCAGAGCAAAATAAATTAGGTGCCCCCAAATGCATTTGTTTGTGGGGACCAGAGAGTTGAAGGTATCAATGTGTGTTTGCATCGCTTGCCAAACTGTGGCTCAGAGTGTCTGGTCTAAGAGCGGCCATGCCCACAGGCCCCCAGGGCCCACTGCCGACTACACGGGGGCCTGAACTCTCCTGCTTGTCCTGGCTTTTGGCATTTCTGGCCTGACACAGTCATCATCTAAAACCTTGATTTGGGGTCTTTTTATGTTCCTTCCCACACTTCCTGGGATCACTGGTCAGCTTCAGAGCCAGACTGTTGCTTTGAGAGTCCTGGGAGAGGGGAAGACAGCAGGATGGACGAGTGCAGTCAAATCGTAACCCTTCTTCCTACGATGCGGTGAGCATTATCATGCCGAGGCTGGGGATTAGCTATTCTTCATGCTCAGAGAAGACAGGCAAGGGGGAAGATGGGTCAGCCAGGTGGAAGCTGGGAGGCTGAAAGATTACAGCTTTTAAGAGGGTCCTGTCCAGATTTGATGGCCTCTGAGGGGCCTCCTGGTTCTCTAAATACAAAGTTTCTCTACCACTCAATATTGAAATCCTGCTTTAAGGCATTCATGTTAATCCATTCTTTATTTCTTAATTTCACATCATGTTCATTAGCCTTAAAAAAATAATCAAGCCAAGGGCAGCTTTGCCGGTCCTTGAAGATGATTGAGTTGGTGGGCGGACCGGAAGTCAGCCTTCAGAAGGATTCCTGCAGGTGAGGGGAGGAGCTGCCTTTGGCTCTGAGCCACTGGACAGAGTGGAGAGAAGCACAGCAATGGAGATGAGCAGGAGTGGAGTGGGAGAAGAAAGGATCACGCCTTGGTAGTCTTCTCCACGCTCTCCTTCCCCGTGATTCATGCCATCATCACTTCCCATCTCGGAACCTGGGCTCACATCCATTCCAAAGCCTTTCCTGATCTGCTTGGCTGGAAACAGCTGCAGACTGACAGATGTCTTCTTCAGGAACTGTGACCTCTCACACCCATCCTGGGGTGGCCACGCCCTTCCAGGTCCTGCAGAGAACAGTTCTTCTCAGGACTCTCCCAAGATCACCAGGCCTGTCCCTGAAGCCCTCCAATACGGGGCTTCTTCCCTCCCAGCTCTTTCCCCCTCCCCCACTCCTATCCTTGCATGCGCCCCACTCCAGTCCTATTGGCTTCCAATGCCTTAATGCGACCTTCCCCTCCCCTCTTGCCGGTGCAGCTCCACCCCTCACAGATCGCTCTAGATCTCCTCACTCTTTTCCTCTTGCTGGAATGATTTGGTTGCGAGGTGTGTGTCGGGGCGGGTACATAGTCTTTGGAGGCTCCGTCAGCCAGTCCAGTGCCCACATCCTCTGCCTGTCTCTCCTACCCCACCTGCTGCTCCATCCCTGTTCCTTGGCTTTGCCTGCCTTTCCTGACAGTGGCAGTCCCTTTCCACATCCTAGGGTGCTGTGAGAACCAAATGAGACCATATACACGAAATGCGTGGTAAACCGTAAAATCTCCGAAAGTAAAAGGAACGATGCAGTTCATTTTTACAGAAAACCAAGGTCCCCAGAAGCTCATCAGTTCTGTGGTGGACACAAGACCAGGCTCCATCTGGTCAGTGGTTCTCATGGCTCACTATGCTCAGAGTGACCCAAGAAACGGAGTCAAGTGCAGCCTCTCCAGACCTCGGAATGCGCTCTGCTTCAGTGGGCCTGAGGAACCTGGATCCTCAACACATGGCCACGGGGTTCTGAGGAGGAAGTCCTGGTAAAAAGACTCTCACCTAGATTGTCTGACTCTTGACCCTCCTTCACCCAAATCTAGATCATCCTCTTGCTGAATCCTACCAAGGGGCGCTTAACTCCCTGTGTTTACCTTTGCAAATTCACTATTTTCCGAAGGACTCAGGTTGGGGCCCAGGCCTGTGGGCTGATGGCAAAGAAGTAACTAGAAATTGGCTCCCCAAACAGCAGCTTCTGAAGCTTTCTGGAGGCTTTAGCCAGAGTTCTCAAAGTGGGTGGGAGCAGGAGACCACGACCCACCCTGGAGCCTCCCACTTGGCTTGGAGGCCCCCCTGGGCACAGAGGCAGTGAGAGTCATCAGCACCTTTCCTTGAGGCCAGTGGAGAGGTTCTAGGGACACTGAGGGCCACTCCCCCTTCCTATGTAAACTCATCCCTCTGGGCAGCACCCCCCTTTCTAGCAGACACTGCACTAGCAAGCGGCTTTCTCAGGATGCTGTGTGCTGCCATGCTTGTCTCCCCCGGGGCTTTCCAGGGCAATGGTGGGTGTGGAAAAGCTCCTCCTGTTTAGATGTATACGGGGAGGCACGTGGATGAAGGCATTGCTAGGTGATGCTGAGAGACCAACAGCCTGCTGCAGATTGTGGAAGACATGGCATTGTCAGTATGCAAGAGGCCAGCTGGGCCCAGGGTAGAGGGGTGGCTGGTGCCCAGCACCAAGTCCATGGGGGAGCCAAGCAGCTGGTAGGACCAGCCTCGGGAAGGGCGTGACACCGAGTGGACAATGATAAAGAAAACAGGGGACCAAAGGGGCCAGGACTGAGGCTCTTCTGGCTTGTAGGAGCTGGCTGGGTATCCTTCTGCATGGTACCTCCCTTCCATGGGCCTCTGCCCGCCTGGGGGAAATATCAGAGACTGAAGTCTTAACAGGCACTGGTTACCCAGAACAACATATATTTTCAACAAGATGATTGGCCAAAATCAAGGGTTCTCAAACGTTTTTCTATGAACAGAGGTTTCCACTGCTGGGCCATCCCCAGAGGAGCCTGTCTTGAGGAGGAGTCCTGGCCACACTTACTTGATGTCTTACTTCTACTCATTCCTGGAGGCCTTAGGGGAATTTCCAGGGTGTCTTCTGAGCTGACCTGGTGCAGTGGTTTTTGGTAAGTAACTGAATCACAGCTCTCTCCCCCTTTCTCAGGTGGCTCACTGTGCCGGGGACTGAATAGTCCTTGGTGGTACAAGAGGCTGAACCACAAGTCACTTTAGGAGGTGGATGTCTATTTCATGCTCTGCAAGAAGCACTGCCAAATATTCACAACTCCCAAGCTAGCAGAGTGTCAGATCCCCCTGAGATTCTCACTGCTATGCATAGTAATATGACTCATCATTTCTTACCAGTTGCCTGAATGAATAAATTTGCTTATTGATTGGGTCCTGATGGCTCCCGTCTTTGAGTCCTGAAAGAAAAATCTTGTGCGGTAAGTTGTTTCAGCTGATGCCCCAGCTAGGCTTTACTCTTTGGGTCATTTTCAAACCCTGCTAGGCAGCTGGCCATGAGGTTCTGGAAAGAATGGGAGTGGTGTTCAGGGCGGAACAGCAGGGCCTTTCCTCTATGTGTGTGGACAGCCGGGAGGCGTGCTGCCCAGACCCCTGTTCAGGGCAGGACTTCTTGCCCAGCTATGGGTGTGTGGTCAGCAGATGGCTTCCAGCTGTCAGCTCCCTTGGCGTTGACCTCGGCTGCAGAGAACAAACTTGCTCAAGGTCACATTTCTCAGGGCAGCCCACCTCCAGTGACTGGGCAAGATGGAGTCCACAGGCCTGGCCATTTCTGCTTGACCCAGGATGGGATGACCAGCAATATACACTTCAGAGCTTCCCACCAGCTTGGCCAAGACCTTGTCACACTGCATCACATTTAATATGTCCCTCCTCCAATCCTCCTTCTACCCCCTGCCACACGTGATGGTCCCTAATAAACATGCACCTAAAGTCCATCTCAGCATCTGCTTCCAGAGAACCCAGCTGGGACCCTTTACTTCACAGATTTCCCAGGGGTGGTTCAGAATCTTGCTTTACGCCTAGTCCCTCCCCGAAACCAGTAAAGCTGAGCTACAGCCCTCTAAAACACATTCTGACCAAGCCAAATCCATAGCTACCAGAGAACGCTGGGGACGATATCAGAGATGGCTGCTAGGGGATCCAGTTGCCTAGAAAAAAAAAAAATCTATCAAGCCCATCCTAGCCTCAGGCCCTAAGGCCTTTGCATTTCATGTTCTCTTTCAGGAATGCTAAAGTTTGTGCCCAATTCACCTTCTCAGACAAGTCTCTCTAGACCCCCAATCAACATGACCATCTATCTGCTCAACACACAGTCACCCCACTACACATTGTGTTGTTTGTGATTTTCTGTTGCAACAAAAACTAGAGGTAACCTTGGATTCTTAGGTTTTCAGTGCCTGTCTCTTCCCACTGAAACATGAATCCCATGAAGGCAGGGGATCTTTTTACTTCGTTCCTCTCTTCAGCCCAGGACCTTGCATTATGTGTTAAGTAAGTATCAGATAGAGAATGACTACATGAATAGGATGGACAAATGCTTTTTGAGTGGAAAAAAGAGACTCTAAGCATTTAATATTTTAAATAATTTTTAAAATCTTTTAAATAGTTTGTTTCTCAAATATTTATTTTTACTTTTTCTTTCTAGTTAAGGTAAGTGGCACTGGTTTTTACTTAGAGAAGGGACAGACAAACTTTCTTCTTCAGAGAGCCACTTACTAAATATTTTTGACTTTGCAGGTCACAGGGGCTTGATTGTGACCAAGTAAGTTGCCCAAGATTATTCAGATTTTTGGCTTTGCGGGTTACAACTACTTAACTCTGGTTGTAGCACAAAGGCAGCCATTGACAATACAAAGAGAATGGGCATGGCTGTGTTACAATAAAACTTTATTTGAAAAAACATGTGGATGTCTGAATTTGGCTGGCAGGTTGTTACTTAGAGTAATAATATAAGATTTCCTACAAATAACTTTATTGAAGAAAAAAAGGAAGTCCATTTAAATAAAAGTATTAACTAAATAGCTATATAGAACCAATATGCAAATTCCTAATGTTGGTTAGTTCTAATGTTTCTTGCAGCGTCTGTGGCCACAGCTGTGGAGGTGAGGGAAGGGAGAAAAACCTTTAATTTAATGTTGCCAAACAGGATGGGAGGCTCACTTAGATATTCCCAAGAGCTTGGTACGGCCAGAGTTCTGCTTTTTCTTCCCTTGCTATTCCTTCATCCTATAGTCTTTTCACCACCAACTCTGTCCCTAGAACTAGTGGTTGTCATGAAATGCTCTTGCTTGGTAAGCAATCTTTCCATGGAGTTTAAATACCCCCACGTTGAATGTGGCCCCATTTACTTACCTCATAAATATACCCTGAGCTTAAACATAAACCTGACAGGGCACTGAGGAGGTATGTGTGGCAGAAAGTGGCAAAGTTAGACTGAAATTCCGAAACTTTCAGGGATAAGAATGGCTCAGCTAAGCTGAGCAATTAACACAAACCAGGCCTGATCTAAGCACTTCACATGTATTAGCTGATTCAGTTCTCACCGTCCTCTTACAATAATGGTATTATTTCCATTTACAGATGAGACAACTGAGGCACAGGAGCTGGGTAAATTTCCCAAGATTATCCAGTTAGCAAGAGGCAGAGCTAGGATATGAACTCAGGTCATCGGCACCAGAGCCGTGCTGCTAACATATACACCTGTGATGATATGCTATGAAGTTCCATGAGATAGCAATATCAGTGTTTCCTAGGAGTCCATCAATTCACTATTCTTTCTCCATAACCTTTAAAAAATCATTTATTTATGTATTCATTCATTATTTTTATTGAAGTGAAACTCACATCATGCAAAATCAAACATTTAAAATAATAAAATTCAGGCTAGGAGCAGTGGTTCATGTCTGTAATCTGAGAACTTTGGGAAGCTGAGGCGGGAGGTTCACTTGAGGTCAGGAGTTAGAGAACAGCCTGGGCAAACAGTGAGACTCTATCTCTACAAAAACATTAAAACACAAAGTATACAATTTAATGTATAAGTGCCATTTAATGCATTCACAATGTTGTGCAAGCACCACTTCTCTTGAGTTTCAATGCTTTTTAAAAAATAACCCCAGGAAAAGACCCCATATCTATGAAGTAATCCCTCTCTAGTCCCTTCTTCCTCATCTACTGGCAATGTAATTTGCTTTGTCTCTGGTAATTTGGCTTCTCTGGATATTTTATATAAAAATAATCATATAAATAGGTACCTTTTGTGTCTGGCTTCTTTCATTTAACATGTTTTCAAGGTTCATCTAAGTTGTGGAATGAATCAATACTTTGTTCTTTTTCTTGGCTGAATAATATTCCATTAAGTGGGTGTACTACATTTTGTTTATCTGTTTATCTGTTGATGAATATTTGGGTTGTTTCCATCTTTTGACTCTTGTGAATAGGGCTGATATAAACATGCATGAACAAATATTGGAGTATCTATTTTCAGTTATTTTGAGTACAGACCTAGGAGTAGAATTGCTGGGTCACATAGTACTCAATGTTTAACTTTTTTGAGGAACTGCCAAACTGTTTTCCATAGTGGCTGTACCATGTTATATTCCCAATGAGGTAGGAGGTGGGACTGGACTCTGGACCAGACTGAAGACTGACTGAAACAGGGAAGAGGCAGCAGAAAACACAATCACCGGTGCCATGACAGTTGACCATTGCCATGGCAACGCCTGAAGATTGCTGCCTTTTTCCATGGCAATGGCCTGGAAGTTACCACTCCTTTTCTAAAAATATCTGAAAACCTGCTCCCTAGTTTGCATATAATTAAAAGTGCGTGATTAAATATGGCTGCAGAACTGCTCCCGAGCTGCTGTCCTCAGCACATTGCCCGTAGGGTAGCTGTGCTCTGCAGGAGCAGTCACAGAGTCGTAAGGCTGCCTCCTCCATGAAGCTGTTTCCTTCTGCCACCCTCTCACTCTCCAATTCTTTCCTAAGTGAAGTCAAGAGCCTTTCTGGGCTGAGCTCCGATGTTGGAGTTCTCCTGGCTTGCTCCTACTTCCTCACATCATTACCAACACTGATTATTTTTCATTTTTTGAAGTTTTTGTCTTTTAATATGTTAATAGCTATCCCAGTGGATTTGAAGTGTTAACTCATTGCAGTTTTGATTTGCATCACATTAATGGCCAGTTATGTTAAATCGCTCCTCATTGGCTGGACATGGTGGCTCATGGCTGTAATCCTTGGGAGGCCAAGGCATAGGATTGCTTGAGCTCTTGAGTTTGAGCCTGTATTGATCTGTGATTGTGCCACTGCACTCCAGTCTCCAGTCTGGTGACAGAGCAAGACTCTGTCTCTAAAAACAAACAAGTCAAACGAATGAACAAAAAATCTCAAAACATCCCTTTATTCGTTTTTTGCTCATCTGTATATCTGTTTCGGAGAAATATCCATTCAAGTACTTTAATTGGGTTGTATATCTTTGTATTGTTCTTTTGTAAGAATTCTTTGAATATTCTGAATGTTATCTCCTTATCAGCTGTATAATTCGCAAATAATTTTTTCCCATTCTATAGATTGTCTTTTTACTTTCTTGCTAATGCCCTTGTAAGTGCGTCAGATGAATATGGTTTGTTTCTCACTTGCCATGGACCCTCAGGTTGAAGGTGGTGTAACCTGAGCATGCCCAGATGAACAGTGTGCAACCACAAGGGGGATCTAAGTGCTTGGACCAAGGAATGGGAATGTAACTAAAAAACGGGAACAGTTCATAGCAGGACCCAGTCAGATCCTGCCTCCCAACTTCTCTTCATTGTGAGATCCAGTCAGATCATGGCACCTTACCCTATCCTTATAAAACCTGACCCAGACCCCAGCTCAGGGAGGCATTGCTTTGAGAGCTACCCGCTGTGTTCTCCTTACTTGTTGTAAGTAATAAAATTCCCTTCTAAATCCTTCCTGGCTGTGTCCATTGGGCTGTCAGCTGCTAAGCAACGAAACCCGCCTATTGTGTGGATAACATCTTTTGTTGAACAAAAGTTTATATTTTTCTGAATTCCAATTTATCTAATTTTTTTTTCTTTCATTGCTTGTGCTTTTAGTGTTAAATCTAAGAATCCCCTGCCAAATTTAAGGTCATGAAGATTTACCCTTATGTGTTCTTCGGACAGTTTTTGTTTCGGCTCTTATATTTAGGTTATTGTTCCACTTCCATTGATTTTAAGAGAACCTAACACAGACCTGGTTAGGGAGGATGGGAAGACTTCGGCAGAGCCACACCGCCTCAAGTGAAAAAACATGCATTTGGTTTTCAGGCCCTCCCTACTCTAGTGTGACCTCATCTTAATTAATGACATCTACAAAGACTCTGTTTCCAAATAACGTCACATTCTGATGTTCTGAGTGGACATGAATTTTGGGGGGCACACTGTTCATCCCAGCACGCCCCTCTAGTTAACTTGAGACAGAGGATAGTGGCTGCCTCCCAGACAGCAGGAGAAGGAAAAATCCCAGCAGAAGCAGCGGCTTAAACAAACCCTCAGCCAGGAGCATGGTGGTTGGGTGGGGAGAAACAATGTGAATACCAAGGGTAGTAGTATGGTGTGACAGTGGGAACCCCCAAACCACAGCTCCTTTCAAGGGAGTTTATGAGTGATAAATGCCTCTGAAGAGTCTGGGCAGTGTGCAGAGGTGAAGGAAGGGCGACAGGCTAACCAGGCTGTGTGTGAGAACAGCCTTTGTTTTCTTGTCCTACTTTTAATTTTTGTATGTGTTAACCTTTTTCCTTGAGACAAAGCATACTTACAATAGGAGTGCATAAAGGGCACTAATCTTAACTGTACAGCTTGGAGGATATTTACATAGGCATGGGCTCATGTAACCATCATCCCGATGAAAAAGCAGCATGCTTCCAGCACTCTGACAGGTACCCCAGCGTTAGGGCCTGCCTCATGGCTGTGCAACCTCTGTAATGCTCCGAAGGTCTCACACTTGGTTTAATGCTCTACTGTCACTGTACTGGCATTTTTAAACAAGGGGCCTTGCATTTTCATTTTGCACTGGGCTCAGGTAACCCCTATTCTCTTCTTTCCATGAGTACAAATATTTCAAGGTTCCGCTCAAGTCCTACCTCCTTCAAAAGGTTTCCCTGACTCCTCCCTGCTCTCTGGGTAACTGTCTGTCCTGAGTTTCTATAGGAGCTATGCCTGCCAAATACCACTCAGTGCTTGGTCACATGAATTACACTCAGCCCTTGGTAGTCTCTGTTTTCTCTGTGCTAGAAGTTATGTCTTGTCCATCTGGTTATGAACTGACGAGCATTGGTAAAAGCTCCCACTCCTGCGCACTCTGACGTGAAACATTGAGAATTATTGAGATCCACATTTCATCTCTTGTTTTAACCTGCAAAATTCCTTTATTTATCTTGATGTCCCACCGTGCACCCAGCCTAGTGTCTCTATCAAGTTCAATAAATGGTGGCTGGCCTTTTACTGCTCCTTCTTCCTGTCTTATTTCTGACCAGGTGGCTTTGCTGCATCCCGGTATTCTAGAATGTGAAGGCAGGAAGGGATCTGAGACTCATCAGGTCAAATCCATCTATGAATGGAGGAGACTCATAGAAGTCTAGTGTCTTACCCAAGGTTATACAGCTAGTAGGGGCACCATAGGAAGGTTAGGGCACTTTCCTCTGTAGTCACCTCCACCCCTTCGTCCCTTCCTCTTTACAGATGTGGACCCCTCCTGTGAGTGCAGGTTGGGGGGTAGCCCTCTCCCTGCCAGGAGCATCTGACCTGATTCTCCCTGAGACTGGCAGTCTGTCACCGGATTGGCTTCCAGCTTCCTCTGCAGAATGGCTCCCTGGAGGCTCCCTGAGAAGCTCAGGAACCAGCTGCCTTAAACCGGTTTCCAGATGTTTCCACCTCAAATTGAGGAAGCAGGAGGAGGGGAAGGGGCTGGGAGTTTGTCCCTTAAATGAAGTCACCAGATCCCTAATAAATAATGTCATGAACTGATGGAGCAGGTGGTCATGGAAGATGCGGTGATGCAGAGGAGGTCCTCATGAGGCCCCGTGTGAAGGTGGGAGAGGCGGACAGACGGACAGGCAGGTAGAACATTTGGAGGCAAGGACAAGAAGAAGAGATAGATGGAAATCAGAGACTGAGAGGGGCCAGGGAGAGCCCGTGAAATTATGAATATACGAGAGAGAAAAGGGACAGAGAAAAAAAAAGTGTCCTGTGAACTAACTCATGAAATGTTTTAGTCAAGTCTGACTTTGCTGCTCTTAGTTCTAATTATACCTAGTATACCAGATACTATTATCCATTGCTGTATGACCAACCATCCCAAGACTTAATGCTTTAAAATAAGTATTTTGTTATATTTCATTATATTTCTTATATTTTATTGTATATTATGATTTTGTGGCTGGGAATTTGAGCAGGGCTGAGCTGGATGGTTCTTTCACACTTCGTGGTGGCAACTAGAGTTACTCATTGATGCACAGCTGGCAGACAGATTGGTTTGGCAGGTCCAGGATGGCTCCAATCACATGTCTGGTGCCTTGGTGGGACTGGCTGGAGGTCTGGGCTCACCTGGGCCCCTCTACCTCCCCATGTAGTCTCAGGCCTTGCCATGTGGTCTCTGCAGCAGGCTAGTCAGACTTCTTACATGGTGGCTCAAGGCTCTAAGAGTGTTTCAAGTGACCCAGGAAGAAGCTACATGGCTTCTAAGGACCTGGCCTTCATAGTCCTGGAGTGTCACTTGGCCACATTCTGTTGGTCCAGTAAGTCTTTAAGGCCAGTGCAGATTTAAGGGAGGAGAACTAGACCTTCCTGCTCAATTGTGGCAGTTTTAATCAATCACAGATCCTTTCCAGTCACAAGACTTTTTACATGGCAGCTATGAATTTGGGGGGTCTTTTCTTCTCTATGAGAGGCTGTAGGATATGAGCCTCAACTGTTCCATCCACTGCTAGATGTTGTGGCCATTTAGCTCCTGGTGTTGCAGTTCCTGTCTTGAGCTGGGCCTCCAGAGACAGGATGCCAGATCCTGAAACATGAGAGAGGTGTTCTGGTTTAGAGACACAGGACAGGATGTCAGGGACCAAGGACCACATCGATGTAACAAAGAAAAGGAACCCACCCCAGAAGTGGTATCTTACTAAGGTCAACAGCAAACATGATAGCTGGTACTTATGTACTAGGGCTCATTCTGAAGTGTCAGTTACATGTACTAACTTGATAAATATTTTTAGCAGCCCTATGTGTAAGTACTACATGTGTGCCCATTTTATAAAAGAAGATACTGAGGGACAAAGAGCTTAAGCAACTTGCCTGGGCTCATACTGCTGCAAAATGAAGAACCAGGATTCAGACTCAGGCAGCCTGGGTCCAGATACCATGGGACCCAAATAAACTGTTAAAACTAGTAATTGTCCCTCTAATACTCAGGAGCACTGAGGTTTACTGCCATTAGCTGGGGGTTCACAAGTCTATCACCCATATTACTGAGTTAACTAACCTTTTGTAGGTAACCAAATGTTCTTTTTGGGAATTTGTAGGTTTCTGAGCTAACAAACAATCCTTTTCTTCAGCTACCTATTAAGGTCAGGGTGACAGGGCATACCTATTCATTTCCCATGGTGTCCTAGGGCTCCTATGCAAATTAACAAAAATAATTCTGGGTTAGATTGTAGCTTCATCATTGCAAACCTGGGTTGTTGATGTAAAGTCACATTATGGTTTTGCTGAGGATCCAGTGGGTGTGTGTGTCAGTGCTAAGCACCTTAATGTGGAAATCTGAGATCTGAGTTTTCTTTTTGAGTCAGCAGGGTCTAGAAGCTATGCAACATCCAGACTTTCACAAGAAAAAACTGATGTAGGATTCCCGTCTAGGCCTCCCATCTCTCCTAATCCCACATCCTGACCCCCCTCCTCCTAGCTGTGTGCACTTTGCCTTTACCCTTCTAAACTCATTTCCTTCTCAGAAAACCGCAGGAAGCCCCTTTGGGAAGAAATCGTCTCACTCTTCCAGGCATTTTCTGGGATTGGATAGTCGAGGCCGTTTGGCAGAGGTGAGCATTATGGGCCTGGCATCACGTAGGATCTGTTTTTGGCCCTCCGGCTGTCTCCTTCCTCCTACGTGGATGGCAGATGGCCTGTATTTTTAATAATTAAAAAAAAAGTAGGAGGGAAATCAGGCTCAGCAGGAGGAATTTGGAACCATCCAGGCAGTGCAATTGAGCTGTGAATTTGTTTGTTTGGGAATTGGAAATCGTGTCTTCCCATTAAACAGGCTCGTGCCCTCAGCCACTTCCAGGAAACTTCGAGGGTCCTACGTAATGATTTTCATCACCAGGTGTCTGCTGGGGGTGGTGAATGGATGGAAGCCACTGGCAGTCCCCGGACCTTGTCCTCATAGAACTGTACCTCCCAGAGGCCATGACAGATAATCTGTGAAACCTTCACCCCCTAATCTATTCTTAGCTTCTCTGCCTGGGAGGCAGAGATCTCAAATGATTACACAAAGCCTGCAAGACCAGCTTTGGGATATTTAGAGAAAAAGAGAAAATGTCCAGCACTAAGAGAAAAGATAAGGCATCTAAAAAGAGATGGTGGAGGTCTGAGACCCTGTTGGGTTACACAGTAGCGTGTGGGACTGTTAACTTCATTTATTCCTCATTTAGTGGGGAGTGGGAGGCATGGAGGAGAAAGCGCTGGACTGGAATGCAGACTCCCAGGTCCATGGCCTGGCACCCCGAACCTTGTGGTCCTTACCTTGTCATCTGCCTTTTCTGGGTCTCAGTATTTTTTTTTAATTTGTTAAAGAACAAAACTGAATTGTGCGAGAGGTTGAGAGAGCTGAGAAAGGTTGGAGAAGCAGTCTTCCTGTACATAACCTGATTGTCTGCTGAGGCACAGAAAGATCTCAGCAGCCTTGAAGGCTGTGAGCCATTGGCAAGGTGACCAGAGAAGTGACTGCATTTTGTTTTGGAAAAACCACCAGTATACATAGGCAGCATGAAAGAGGTTGGGTAGGCTCAGATATGTAGGTTCTTAGGCCACCTTTTCATCCTCAACAGGCTACAAAAGGCTAGTTGGGACCCCAGAGCACATTTCTCCAATTCCCTGACCACCTGCTCCCTCTCCATCAGCATCCCCTTTCCCTGCTTGCTTAACGCTGTGTTGGGATTTCCAGAGAGTGGGTTGAAGCAGCTCTGATGGTGCAAGGGCCTGGCTGGGCAGAGTGCCAGTCCTCCCATCACCGGTTCTGTCTGGAGACAACTGCATCTCAGCACCTCAAGTTCTGGCAGGAAGGGATTGGATGAACATTCCAAGAGCTCAGGCAGGAAGGAAAGTGACCCCGTCGGCCTCTTCCCCCAGCTTTCTCAGTAAGTCCATGCTGGATCCCACTGACCAGCTGCCACCAGGGGCGAGTCAGCCCAGCAGATGGTGTGAGGCTGGGCTGGGAGAGGCGCGTCAGCCAGCCGTGCCACCCTCTGTAATTTGAGACATTCTGTTCTCGAAGTTCCCTGCTCTCCTCTGCCTGTCCCTTCATCTTCCAGCCTGCTTCCCTTTCTTCTTTCCCTCCTCTTTCTGGCTCCCTTCTCCCTTTCCCTCCCCATATTCTCTCTTTAACTGCTACTCCCTTTTCTTTATTTTGTTTTAGCCATTTCAGTGTTTGAAAAAGAAAGAGTCCTTGTGGCTACCCCTAGGAAAGGGAGGGGCACAAGTTGAGGTAGAACTCTTTTTATTTTTTTGTACTTTAGGTTCTGGTATACATGTGCAGATCATGCAGGATTGTTGCATAGGTACACACATGGCAATGTGGTTTGCTGCCTCCATCCCCCTGTCACCTACATCTGGCATTTCTCCTCATGTTATCCCTCCCCGACCTCCCCACCCCCCTGCTGTTTCTCCCTTGGCCTCCCAACAGACCCTAGTGTGTGATGTTCCCCTCCTTGTATCAATGTGTTCTCATTGTTCAACACCCGCCTATAAATGAGAACATGCGGTGTTTGATTTTCTGTTCTTGTGTCAGTTCGCTGGGACTCTTAAGGTAGCCAGTATTAATGTGAGGAGGGTCAAAGGGGTCTATTTCTTGGCAGATGTATTCCTAGCCAGAGAGCCTCAGATTTAAGGAATCTCTTCCTGCTCCTAGTGAAAACCTCAGCTCAACACCCATTGGCCTTACTGTGCTGAAAACAATACTGTCAGCTTGGAGCAGAGGACAGTGTCCGCCAGTGGATCAATTTCTGCCTAGGGAAGGCCAAGGTGAAAGCTCCAGTGCTCCAGGGATACTTTCCAGGTCACTGATAGTTCCTCCTCTGTCCTCTCCATCCCCCTTACTATTTGGAAGGGAGAGTGACCATTCATTTCCTGCTTCTGAAAACACCAAAAGGCTGGTTGGGCAAATTGGCTGAATGTACTTCTCCTCTTTAGAAGCCTTGGTTCTCTAGGAGACTGATCAAGGTGATGACAGCACTAAGGGTGGTCCCAGACCCTCTTACTGAGACTCAAGCCTCTTCTGCTCTGTCTGTCCTCCTCCTTCCTAGAGCCCCCAACCCACAGGAGCAAGTGCAGCCAGCACAGTCTCCAGGCCTTTCCTCCAGGAAGCTACATGTGTTCAATCCAAATCAAGAAGCCAGAGGCAGCCCTGAAGAGAAGGAAAAGAAAAGGGTTTGTTTAAAGGAGCCCAAAGATAAGCTGTTTCTACTTTTCCAGGGCTGCTCTGGACTCCCAGATTAGAAACGTGCACTGACCAATAGGAGGCTCTGCAGCGGTGGAAAATGTCCTGTATCTGCCTTGTCCAATACGGATCCACTAGCTGCCCGCAGCTGCTGGATTCTTTACAAGGGGGCTAATGCCACTGAGGAACTCAATTGTTCATTTAATTTTGAGTCATTTAAACTTAAATAGCCATATGTGGCTGGTGGGTGCAGTATTGGGCAATTCTAAAACCTTAGGGGAACTTGGGGAATAGTAGTAATCCACTAAATAAAATAATATTTTACAAAACACTTTACTCAGTCCCTCCCTCCCTCCCTCCCTCCCTCCCTCCCTTCCCTCCTTCCTCTCTCTCTTTCTTTCTTTTTCTCGTTTTCTTTCTCTCTTTTCTTTTTTTTGAGATGGAGTCTTGCTATGTCACCCAGGCTGGAGTACAGTGGCGCAATTTTGGCCCGCAGCAATCTCCGCCTCCCAGGTTCAAGCGATTCTTGTGCCTCAGTGTCCTGCGTAATTGGGATTATGGCTGTACACCACCATGTCTGGCTAATTTTTATATTTTTAGTGGAGGCAGGATTTCACCATGTTGACCAGTCTGGTCTTGAACTCTTGACCTCAGGTGATCCTCCTGCCTTGGCCTCTTAAAGTGCTGGGATTGTAGGTGTGAGCCGCTGTGCCCAGCCTACTCAGTTCTTTTTACAGATAGCTCAGTATCTGGCACTGGTAAAGAGCTCCATAACTAGATTCTTTATTTAATCAACAAAACAACGCTTGAATGGAGATACTGTGACCATCCACATTCTACGGATAAGAAGAGGAAGGGGAGACACATGGAGATTAAATTGTTCACCCAAAATTGCTCAGCTAGTTGGTGCTGGGACAGGATTTGTAAACAGCCCGCCGGACTCCAGAGCTGTGCTTCAACAAATACTACATCCAAACAAGTGTATCACCCAAACTCCCAAGACCAGATTCCAATTCTGCCTCTACCACTGGCTGGCTCTGTGACCTTGCTCAAGTCGTTTCTCCACTTGCGGCCTCCGGTGGCTCATGGATGAAAATAGGGTGTCGAAGTGATGTGCCCTAGGTTCTCTTTGGCTCTGAGAGTGGATGCTTCCATTTGCCTGAGCCCAGCTGGGGTCACGTGGCTGTGTCCAAACGCACTCTCAGAAGGACATTCCATGGCTTGGAACACCGTGGCCTTCTGGAGCATGGCAGCGTGAAAAGAAGGGCTGCTTTCATCTTTGGTTATGGAGGGGAGCTCCAGGAGCAGGTAGCATTTGAGATGAGTCTGGAGGAGGAGGTAGGCTATAGATGGGCAGAGATGGAAGACAGTTAGGGGCAAAGACATGATGACAGGCAGACAGGAGGAGAAGCCCATGGGGGGGGGGCATATCATGTTATGATGACTTTTCTGAAACCTCTTTTAGAGAAACCCATTTACGAAACTCTTCTTCAACAACAAAGGAAGTACTAGGAAACCCAAAAGTAAGCAAAAGTGAGGGCGAGCGATGTTTAATATCTGTTCCGCTTCCACCAAGTGCACTATACCTCTCTTCTGAGCTGGCTATAATATAAATAGATCATCTCCCTTCCTTCTGCCAGCCAGCAGCGTAGTCCCTGGCGACTGATGGTCCATTGGGCATTTTCTGCTAAGCGTGTGTGACTTTCAACATGTCCTAGGACACAATGACACATCCACCCTGTCCTGTCTCCAGGTGCCCAAGCTGTTGTCTGAAATTGCCCAGACAGCATTCTTGGCCCCGACATGCCCACCCTTCTCTCTCTCCCAGACTGTATTATTTTTCTCTGTGGAGCAGCCTCCACTCCCTTCTTTCTGGCAGATACTGGCCTGCCACTAGAGAAGTCAGGTTGTGACTTCAGCTAGGTCCTGTGGTCTAGCTGAAGCCTGCGCTTCACCCATGTGGGAGAGTCCCTTGAGAACTTGGTGTGTGCCGGTCACTGTGCAGAGCCTGCAGGGAATCCCCAGGTGAATAAGCAAGGTCTGCCTTCCCAAAGCTCATGGTCCAGGGCAGTGTAGCTGAAGGGGTTCCACCTCGGATACCTAGACACCCAGTAGATGATGGAAGTGGGCCTGCTGTGAGAGCATAGGGAACAGTGGGGATTGGCAGAATTCAAACCCGGCTTCATCTCCTTATCTCCAGCTCGTTACTACACTCTACCACACAAAAGCACAGGCAGAATGTGCCTGATGTTCTGTTGTGCAAAGAGAAGCTGGAATCTGGATTTGAACTGGAAATTTCCCAAGTTTTAAAAAGGGCATGCTGGCCAAATAAAACTCATCTCTTGGTGAAAAGCATTCCTATTTCTTTCTTATACATTGGCAAATTCCTGAAGACGTGTTTGTTGAGTGGTTGAAGAAAGGAAGGAATGAGACGAGCCGATCTCTGGAAGTTGTCCCTCCCTGTTTGTGCCCGTGTTGACATCATTTTCCTGCTTCAGTGTAGACAGAGCCTTGTTCGCACCAGAGCAGTTAACCAGATAATTATCCCCTTGGAAAATTAGTCACAAAGACCAAGTCAACACAAGAGCAGTGGGCACATGTGTATTGGCTGCTCTGGGGTTTTCCAGGGGGTGGATTTCTTCTGCTTTCTCTTTCCCTTGCACACAGGGTCAGAAAAGGACACTGGTAACTGGATTTCTCAGATCATGAAGCCTGAAGTTTCTGGGTAAAGGCAATGTTGAAAGGAGGGCTTAGGGCTCCCCCAAAGTTCTCCACTCACAAACACATTAACATTTATGTAAAAAAAATTGCACTTAGAAAAATAGTATTGGTTGTACAGTTAGTGTCCCCATGGGATTGTAGGTATATATATTGTGTTGTGTTCTTGACAAGTGTGGTAGTCAGGGTTCTCCAAAGAAATGGAACCAATAGGCTGTGTCTGTGTATTTACATGTGCATATGAAGAGAGAGAGAGATTTATTTTTAAAAATTGGTCTATGCAATTGTCGGGGCTGGCAAGTCCAACATCTGCAGGGAAGCCTAGGAGACTAGAGACTCGGGGAAGAGTTGATGCTGCAGCCTTGAGTTCAAATGTAATATAAAGGTAGAAGTACTTTTTCTTTTGGGTATCTAAGTCTTCCTTCTTAAGACCTTTAACTGATTAGATGAGATCTATACACACAGAGGGTAATTTACTTCACTCCAAGTCTACTGATTTAAATGTTACATCTAAAAATACTTGCCTAGTAACATCTAGAATGGTGTTTGAATGAACAGCTGGGTGCCAAAACCTACCAAGCTGATACATAAAAACTAACCATGAGAGCAGGGTTGCCATCTTAGATTAAATTCCGTCAAAGTGTTTTAAACAATACAACGAACAACCTAATGCCTGTAAAAGCTCTTGGATAGATGTCCCCAGTGCTCATCAAGATGACTGTCCAGGTAATGTTCTTTCCAGTGTTAGTTCATTCTCCTGATTTTTTTTGTCATCTCATTTATCAAACAATCGCAAGTTAATTTAGTGATTAGTTCAAACTGAGGTAGCAAAGACATTTCATTTTCTATGACAATTCTCAATTGTTGATTACTTTGTGTACTAAATGTGAAGGAGCTGTGGGTGAACTCAGCTCAGAGGGGAGGCATGTTGTATTTGATTATTCATGTCTGTGATGGCAACAGGCATGGAAGTGGTGGTGCGTGTATGTGTATATGCCATCTACAATCAAGATCAAATTTTCATTAGAGAAGAGAGGGAAGATCAGAGAGGAAAAATCATTTGAGTGAGCCCCCACAACAAGTAAATATCAGGTGAGGAGGAGAAACTGGAAGCCAGGTCTCCTAACTCATAACACAGAGTTCCCCTATCAGACAAAGAATATCTAATGTACACACTTATCAAGGGACTAATTATCCAAACAGTGTTCTCATTTCCTCCATGTCTTATTTGTTTTATTAGAAAAAGGTTTTTTTTTTTTGTCTCCTAAAAGAAGCCCATGTATCATGTAACTAGGAAACTACATCCCAAATTTTGACCTCTCAAATTTTCCTTTTAAGTTTGGGT